TGTGCCTAAGTAATGCCCCCCAGCTACTCGGGACGCTGAGGCAGGAGAATCGCTTGAACCCTGGGAGGCGGAGCTGCAGTGAGCCAAGATCGCACCACTGCGACTAATGGCCAAGCCTGAGCAACCGCGCGCGACTCTGTCCTCGGAAAAAAAACCACAAAAAAACGAATATTCTGGTGATGCCATTGTGGTCAGGTGGGATTCAAAGTAACAAGAGGCACAGCACCAGTCACACAACTACAAACAGCAATAAACTACCCTGAATAGTAAGAGCAGACAAGCCTGAATTGTACTTTCTTTCATGGATTCCGGAAAAGACGTTTAGGATCTCTTAGCACTTCTGGCAGCAAGCCTTGAAGAAAGTTGGTCCTTCCTGGGTCCGTGGGTATCTTGACACTGTCACTTAGGTAGGTGAGTGATAGACTCTGCTGCATAAACCAGCTCTTTTCTTTTTTCTTTCTTTCTTTCTTTTTTTTTTTTTGAGCATGAGTATCACTTCTGTCGCCCAGCGCTGGAGTGCAGTGTGCACGATCTCGCTGCAACCTCCGCCTCCCGGGTTCAAGGATTCTCCTGCCTCAGCCTCCCCGAGTAGCTGGACTCCAGTGCCGCATCTGCTACCAACTCTGGCTAATTTTTTCGGTATTTTTATAGAGACAACAGGTTTCACCGAGTTATCGCCAGGATGTCTCGTCTCCTGACTCGGCCTGTGGCCTCCCAAAAGTGCTGGGATTACAGGCGTCGCCGTCCAGAACTGGCTAAGCATCTCTTAGTCACTAGGGCTCTACTCCAGTTACTCTCCTGGCTTTGTTTGTTGTACTTTTATTAATTTATCTTGAAGCTCCCCTCAAGTTCTCCTAGAAGTGATGGGTGAGACATTTTTTCTTTCTTCTTGTTTTTTTATTGACTCTTGTGTCTCAGGCGGCTGGCGTTCATGGCCTCCCTCGGCCTCCCAAAGTGCTGGGATTACAGGTGTGAGCAACCGCGCCCGGCCAATTTTTTGTATTTTTAATAGAGACGGAGCCTCAGTATGTTGCCCAGGCTGGTCTTGAACTCCTGGGCTCAAGCAATCCACCCGCTTTAGCCTCCCAAAGTGCTGGGATTACAGACCTGAGCCAAGGCACCTGTCTGACTTTTTTTTTCTTTTTAAGTGAAACTGAAAAAAAAAAAACAAACCAATACCCCCGTCATGGGCTTTGGTGAGAACCCTTGAGAGTGCGACAGGTTAAATGTGGAAGAGATCTGTGAAGTAATTAAGTGTTTCCTTTCTTTTTTTTCTTTTTGAGATAGAGTCTTGCTCTGTTACCCAGGCTGGAGTGCAGTGGCACGATCTCAGCTTACTGTAACCTCCGCCTCCAGATTCAAGTGATTCTCCTGCCTCATCCTCCCAAGTAGCTGGGACTATAGGCATGTGCCACCACACTCCACTAATTGTTGTATTTTTAGTAGAGACAGGGTTTCACCATGTTGGTCAGGCTGGTCTCGAACTCCTGACTTCAGGTGATCCAACCACCTCGGCCTTCCAAAGTGTTGGGATTACAGGCGTGAACCACAATGCCCAGCCCGATGTTTGGATTTCTGTTCCTGTGTTAGTTTGCTGAGGATAATGGCTCCCAGCTCCATTCACATCCCTGTAAAGAACATCCTCTCGGCCGGGCGCGGTGGCTCAAGCCTGTAATCCCAGCACTTTGGGAGGCCAAGGTGGGCAGATCACAAGGTCAGGAGATTGAGACCATCTTGGCTAACACGGTGAAACCCCATCTCTACTAAAAATACAAAAAAAAAAACTAGCCGGGAGAGGTGGCGGGTGCCTGTAGTCCCAGCTACTCGGGAGGCTGAGGCAGGAGAATGGCGTAAACCCAGGAGGCGGAGCTTGCAGTGAGCCGAGATCATGCCACTGCACTCCAGCCTGGGCGACAGAGCAAGACTCCGTCTCAAAAAAAAAAAAAAGAACATCCTCTCATTCCTTTTCATGGCTCTATAGTATTCCATGGTGTATATGTACCACATTTTCTTTACCCAGTCTATCATTGATGGGCATTTGGTTTGAGTCCATGTCTTTCCTATTGTGAATATATTGCAGTGAACATATGTGTGCATGTATCTTTATAATAAAATGATCTATAGGATTGCTGGGTCGAATGGTATTTCTGATTCTAGGTCTTTGAGGAATCACCACACTGTCTTCCACAATGGTTGAAGTAATCTACATTCACACCAACAGTGTAAAAGCGTTCCTATTTTTCTACCGCCTGACCAGCAGCTGTTGTTTCTTGACATTTTAATAATCACCAGGCTCACATTTACCTCTTTCTCTGCCTCTTTGAGCTCTGCTTCTTTCTCTTTGACTCTCTGGACGAACATCTGTCTCATCTCCTCTTCTTTTTTCTGGAGTTCCCCTAGGAACTCGTTTCTTTTGGCCTCATACGTCTCCTGTAAACTGCGAACATGGTCAGGTTAATTCTTCTTCCTTTGGAATGGCTCCTATTTGATAAAACTGGCCCCAAAGATGCTCACTGGGTTCCTCTGTCCTCCCTTCCCCAGTTGTGAGCCAGGTACAAAAATAGAACCACAAAGCTGTGGGCACCTGGCTTGGCCCATGACAGCATGCCCACAGGGCTTCTGAAGAGGGATGGGGCAACCCTAGTGAACTGGAGAGACTTAGAATATCTGATTCTATACTCTTGTTCTAAGGATGAGAAAACTGAGGCCCAGAGAGGTGAGGTGTCTTGCTCAAGGCTCCATGGCTAGTTAGAGGGAGACCTTTGACCAGAAGCTAAGTCTCCCGTCTCTTCATCTGGGTTTTCCCCTGCACAATGCTGCCAGGCCCTAGCTCCGAAACCGACCACATGAATGAACTATTTCAACAAATGCTTGAGGAGACTCCGTATGTGCTAGACTCAGTACTAATTGACATGATGCTAGTCACTCAGCCTCTACAGCCAACAGCCATCATACTTGCCATCAAGGAACTCATGGTCTAGTGGGAGATGCCCCTGGCCTAAGCTTATTTTTAAAGAAATAGGAGATGATAGGCTGGGTGCGGTGGCTCACACCTGTAATTCCAGCACTGTGGGAGGCCAAGGCCGGTGGATCACCTGAGGTCAGGAGTTCGAGACCAGCCTGGCCAACATGGTGAAACCCCATCTCTACCAGAAAATATAAAAAATTAGCCGGGCGTCGTGGTGGATGCCTGTAATCCCAGCTACTTGGGAGGCTGAGGCAGGAGAATCGCTTGAGCCTGCTAGGCGAAGGTTGAAGTGAGCCAAGATCGCTTCACTGTACTCCAGCCCGTGTGACAGAGTGAGACTCCATCTCAAAAAAAAAAAAAAAAAAAGCAATAGCCTGGTGAAGAAGAGGTGGAACTGTGATCCAAAGAGGGCAGCATGTAAGAAAGCTCGTGTGGAGAGAGAATGACATTCTTAGGGAGCCAGGTGTGGTTCAACATGGCCAGAGAGCACCATGACAATGCTGGAGTAGAGTCAGACGAAGTTCCTGAGCCTGGTGGAAGAGAACAGGCTTTGAATGACATATTTAAAAATTGGACGTGTATGCACTGCATGGTTTTAAAGCAGGAAGTAGTACTAGATCCAATTTGAAAATGAGAAGGACCACTCTGGCTGTGTTGTGAGAAGGATAGACTTTCCATCAATCCAAGTAAGAAGTGACAGGATCTTGGCTGGGCGTGGTGGCTCATGCTTGTAATCCCAGCACTTTGGAAGGCCAAGGTGGGTGGATCACTTGAGGTCAGGAGTTCAAGACCAGCCTGGCCAATATGGTGAAACCCTGTCTCTAATAAAAATACAAAAATTAGCCGGGCGAGGTGGTGGGTGCCTGTAATCCCAGCTACTTGGGAAGCTGAGGCAGGAGAATCACTTGAACCCCGGAGACCAAGGTTGCAGTGAGCCGAGATTGTGCCATTGCACTCCAGCCTGGGCGAGGGAGCAAGACTCTGTCTCAAAAAAAAAAAAAAAAGAAAAAAGAAAAAAAAAGAAGTGATAGGATCTTAAATGTTAAGGGCTGGGAGGGAATGGTGGAGGGAGTGGTAAGAAAGGCAGAACTCCCAGGACTTGGGAGGAGCCAAAGGTAATTCTGATTATCCCTGGGCAACCAGGTGGATGGTGGTATCATGAATAGCAACAGGGAATGTTGGAGACGCATGCTTAAGAGGGAAGAAGATGAATTTGTACTAAGCTTGATTTTCGGGGATGTCCTCTATGGGATGTCAGAGTGGAAATGTCCAGGATGCAGTTGGATTAATGGGTTTAGACTTCAGAAGTAAGACTAGCTTGGGAGCCATCTACTTCTAGGTGGTAATTAGGGCTGTGAGAGTAGAAAGAACCAGCTGCAAAGAGAACAGAAAGTGAAAGAAGCAGAGGCCCTAGGAAAGAATCCCGGGGGGTGTATATCAACATTTAAAGGAGTAAGGTGAAGAAAATGAGCCTGCAAAGGAGGCTGAGAAGAAATAGTAGGAGAGATAGGAATAGAATCAGCCAGGACATTGCTGGAAAAGCCAAAGGCAGAGAGCATTTCAACGAGGCAGTGAGGAATGGCATAAAGTGCTGCGTTGGTATCAAATAAGATGGAACCCAAAGGCAACATTGAACTTAGCCACAAGTTTGCGATTCCCGGCCTTGGAGAGAGGCATTTGAGGGGTTATGCTGGGGGCAGAAGCCAGACTGCAGTGGGTTGAGGAATGAATGGGAGATGGGGAAGAGGAAACAGCAAATATAGAACAACTCTTTCTCCTTCTCATCCTGTCAAGGACTTCTTGACAGGGCAGAGGCTCGTAAGAAAGAGCAGGGTTAAGGGGAAGTTTCTTCAGCACAAGAATGCTTACGTGCAGCACGAGAAGAAGCTGGCAGAGAAGGAGTGAAGAAGGTGAAGACACAGGAAACAGAGTATTCAGGATGGAGTGAAGGAGGAGGGAAGGAGACAAAATGACCAGGTGGAGGCACACCTACTCCTCTACAAATGCAGATGAAAGCTGCAGGTGGGGAAGAGAGCCAGGGGGCTCCCACCAGAAAGAGACAAGCAGGGCTTCCCCCAGCCCCACGTGCTCCAGTGGCCCCTGGCCCCACCTGTCAGTATAGGGCATGAGCCTATCCTTCCTGAAGCAAGTATCCCCAAGGGACTGGTTAGGCTCTGACTCCAGGCCAGCTTTAGGCTGTGAACAGGTAGTGTAAGATCTCAGAGGCTCTTTGAAAGCCTTTTTAACCGGTAGACATCTCCCTCACTTGCTTATTAGTGCCTGACCACCATAAAGGGCACCACGTGGTAATTTCAACTGTGGAGCTTATTTCACACATCACACATATAGATCAGACACTTCTACTTGGTGCATCACTCCTCTCTGCATAATAACCTGCTTTCAAAAACATTTCCCTTCTCTAAAAGCATTCTGATTTAAGAAATATGCCAATGATGATTAACATCCTGCGGTCAAAACAGAACTTGCACTTGAATGCAGACACTAAGAACAGCAATTGAAGAGCCTGCAGTTCATCGATGCATGGCAAGGGATCGCTACCTGGTCCTATCTGGGTTTCAGAATGGGGAAATGGGTAAAGAACCTGTCTGAGTGCCAGGAGCCTGATGAAGAAAGAGGGGCAGAGGACAGTTACCAACTGCCACCCCGTGGAACAGGGCCCCAGCTTGGGGATCCCCTCCAGCGCAGCTGCTTGGAGCTGTCACGGATGCGTGCATGTGTGTGTGGTGATCCGCCTTGCTGGTCCTCTGGGCCTCCTCCCTTCCCTTGCCCTTCAAAGCAAGGCAGCAGTACTTCCCAAGCCTGCGCCCCACAGCTCTCCTGGCAGGTGTGCAGTGGCGAAGGGTGAACAGGCAAGCAGAACTGGCAAGTGAGCCGCCCCTGCTCCTCGAGGTCTTAGCACCCGTGTCTCGCCTCCCCTGTGAATTCTCCAGGGGAAGGCTTCCACACCACCTGGGTGGGCTGAGCTGAGCTGGGCTGGACTGGGCTGGCAGGAGTGGTACCTGAAGGGTTTGCTGTCAGGGTCGGTGTCCTTGAAGCCCATCTCCTCCAGCTTACAGCGGCGATACAGCTCATAGTGCCGGGTGTGGGTCTGCTCCCGCAGATCCTCCATGTTGACCCGAATCAGCATCTCCCGCAGCTTCACAAAGTCGCAGTGGGCCTCGTTTTCAACTGCATAGCAGGGTTTGGGGTATTGAAAGTATGTTGAAAGGAAGGCCAGCGGAAGCAGAAATGGATGAAACGAGAGGCAAAATGTCTAACAGTGACGTTGCCTTGCAATCTGTGTATTTAGATCCTGCAAATTTACTTTCTCTCTTTTTTACTGAAAATGTAAATGAAAGGTTACAAAAATGCCAGTAATGAAAAATGGTGATACCATAAAAATACTTGTTAAGACAGTCAGTAGCACCACAATCTAAATTCAGCAGTCAGACCTTCAAAAGAATGTTTGGTCTACACCACTTGTAGGACAACAGCACATATGCATCTATCCATCCATCCATCCATCCATCTATCCATCCATCCATCCATCCATCCATCCATCCATCTATCCATCCATCCATCCATCCATCCATCCATCCATCCATCTATCCATCCATCCAATCAATATTTGTGGAATCTCTGTTCCCATTATTGTGTGAGGCACTGGGAATTCAGAAACGAAGTCATGGAATCTTGCTGTCAGGAGCTTACAGTTTAGAGGAAGAATAGATGCAAATAGACAAATACAATTCAGTGCAAAACTACAAAAACAGAGGGATAGCCAAGTGGCAATAAAGCTCAGAAGAGGGGGGCCTAAGAGCTCCTGGGAAAGTGAAGACTTCACCGAAGAGAAAATCCCTAAGATGACTCTGGAAGGAAGAATAGTAATTTATCAGCCAGAGAAGGGAATGGTGTTTGCAAGGTGTCAATGAGGTTAGGCAAGGTTATGTAGCTAGTAAGTTGCAGAGTTAGGGCTCAAACCCAGGCAATGTAGGGGAGATGACAAAGTCTCCAAATAATAAGGGGAAAGAACTAGGATACTGATAGATGACAGTGACAAGGAGGGGTGTGGACCACAGGCATGGCCCACCTGGATGGTAGAAGCTTCCAAGGAGGTGGTTTCTTTAGAGGGTAGATAATGGCCTGACAGTAGCAATGGTGACTAGGAGCAAGGGGACCCCACTTTCTGGCCTGTGTGAACAAGTCCCCTCTTCAAAAGAGTGCAAGCAAAGGTCTGCAATTTTGGGCAGTGGTCAAGAATGACAGATGTGGACCAAGTCATAGCAAAATCGATTTCTGGCTAGACCAGGTCACAAGCAGTACTTTGTCAAGGTGGCTACAGGTATGGCTTCACTGTGTCGGATGGTGGTATTTGGCCTGAACAAGTAGGAAAAATGGTGTCTGAAGTGATGAGCAGGCAGTCACCCCAGATTCTGTCTTGCAGAGTCTGGAAGAGGGTAGTGGGGGCAGAGAGGGGCCTGGGATAAGTGGGTCAGCTGTAGTTGAAGCAGACTGCCTTGTGGTCATCAGTCTTTCCAAAGCCCGAATCAGCTCACATAATCCTTCTGCTTAAGACCCATTGAATTAGGAATAAAGCCCCCTGCTGTCATAGAACATAGGCTAATATTAAAGATGACATCAGTAAGACAACTTCTCAGGACTATGCTATATGCAACTTCTCAGTACTATGCTATATGCCATCTCCTCCTCCATCTCTGGACAGTGATCTCTGATGGTGAGTCAGAAGGAGTGCCTCCAAGGCCCCTGCAGGCTACCTAAGCAATATACAACTTCTTCCTCATTCAAGCAGAACAGTCAACTTAGACTTACAAGAAAAACTTTCAAAGCCCCCTTTATTGTTTAGGTTCAGGGTAGTCCACGTCAGATGAAGTAAGTCATTGGAACCATGTCTACTGGCTTCTCCTCATCTCACTTCAGGTTCCTGTTTCTCAGACCACAAGTCCATTCCCAGGGTGGGACTGTGGGTCCAGAAACCATTTGCAAACGTTCCTAGTGGAGCAACCCCAGCTCCGAACAGCAGAGAAGACCAGAACTTAGCACAGCTCTGATAACCAGTCTTGTCCTACCTATAGAAAATCCAGCTATTGTCAGTGGGTCTGCGGGGTGTTCTAAAACATGCCAGCCTTCGTATGTGATGCGGACAACTCGCCACCCACTTTCAGGTGTTTCCCCAGTGGTAGGGATGAGGTTACAGAGAACCAGCCACTCTTTCACACGATGCCCCTATCAGCCACGGCCCGGTTTCTAGCTGTAGACTCTCAGGACCAAAGACCTCTTCTACCCACAGCACTGTCCTTGGCCTTGTCTTATGCACTGAACTGACTAGCCCTGAGGGTAAGTTAACATATGTCAGGCAGATCCCAGAAGGAACTTTCCTGAGTGTAATACAATATGTCTGATTGCTTTTCAATTGTGAAATAATCATACATTCAAAAGAGAGCATGAAATATGTATGTGCAATTTAAAGAATTTTTGAAAAATTAACACCAATGTCTCCACAACTCAGGTTAAACATTACCAGTATCTTGGAAGCCCCTGAGTGCCCTTTTCCAATCTCATCCTCCTTTATCCCCCTACTCCCCTGGCAGAGACTTAACCCCTCTCCTGACTTTGGAGAGTATCATTCCTTTGTTTTCTTTACAGTTTTACCTCTCATGTATGCATTCCTAAAAATATATATCTTGTTTAGTTTTGCCTCCTTTTGGAATTCATACAAAGGGAATCCAATGGTATGTTTCTTTCTTTTTTTTTTCAATCTCGCTCTGTCGCCCAGGCTGGAGTGCAGTGGCGAAATCTCAGCTCACGGCAATCTCTGCCTCCTGGGTTCAAGCGATTCTCTTGCCTCAGCCTCCTGAGTAGCTGGGACTACAGGCACATGCCACCATGCCTGACTTTTTTTTTTTTTTTTTTGTATTTTTAGTAGAGACGGGGTTTCACCATGTTGGCCAGGTTGGTCTCGAACTCCTGACTTCAGGTGATCTATCCGCTTCGGCCTCCCAGAGTGCTAGGATTACAGGAGTGAGCCACTGTGCCCAGCCCCAATATGTAGTTTTTTAAAATCCCTTACCCTCTTCCCACCCTCCCATTATCCACTTTTTTTTTTTTTTTTTTTTTGTACTTTTAGTAGAGATGGGGTTTCACCATGTTGACCAGGATGGTCTCGATCTCCTGACCTCGTGATCCGCCTGCCCCGGCCTCCCAAAATGCTGGGATTACAGGCGTGAGCCACCACGTCCGGCCTATCCAGTCTATTTTAATGAATATCTGGATTGTTTGTAATTATTTGTCATTACAAACAACACTACTGTGAACATTCTTGTGCATTTCCTGGTGCACTTGGGCAAGAACACAGGCTTTCTCGCACACTCCTTCCTACCTTGCAAGTCTTTGTGTTTAGGAATACTTTTCCCATGAGAGACAGAGGAAGCTTGCTCCCATCAGGGCATCCCAGTATGGAGCCAGAGTTAGCTTCCTAGTGACCCCTATGGCTATTTGGGACCCATGCCAAATGAGCAGAGACTTGGGACAGTTTAGAAACTTGTCATATAGTGGCTGGGGACAAACAAAGAGGCAGACAAAAGGGGTTTCCTGCATGTAGCCCCTCTCCCGGAGACTCACTCACCCTGCACAGTGCCCCAAGGATACTGCCGCGCCCTCATCATCTTGTTGCCTATCTTCAGTTCTTCTGTGCTGCCGATGACAGCAAACGGCAGGTGGGCCTGAAACCGAAGGCAAACGAAAGCTGAGAACTGCAGAGGAAAGGCACTGAGTGTTACACAACCCAACTGCTGTTGGTCTCTGGGGCCCCAGACCCTCACCCTGCAATGTCCCTCACTGTCATCATCACCAACAAGCATTTATTAAGTTCCCAAACTATGTGAGGATAAGAGGCCTAGTCCAAGCTTCTGCTGTTCAGAAATTCACAATAGAGGGTAACGATGACATGGCTGAATGCATAGGGAACAAAGAGAGAAAATAAGCAGAATAATACGCAGACACACAGATTACCAAGCTATTCGCTATTCATAGTTACTGCTGAGGGCAAGAGCCTTTGGAAGATGGGGAAGTGGAATGAGGGGGGTTCTGTGTGGATAGAGAGGATAAAGGAGTACCGAAGGGTCTCAGATCACTGGCCCTTCTCCCTCCCTGGCGTGCAAGAGCCCCAAGACTAGGTCCATACTGAGACCACAAAGCCGACTGAGCTGTATTGTCCTTGTTCTCATCCTTCCCTGGAGAAAGAGCTCACACTGAACTCGTGAGCCTAGAAGGCAAGTCACTAAGGATTTACTCACATGACCGTGCTGGGTTCTGCTGTAGGTGCTATAAGGCAGATAGAAGCAGCAGAAGACATGCTCCCTCGCCCTCTAGGAGCTTACAGTCTAGTTGAGGGAGCCCAAATTACATAACTCAAGTCATATAAGATAGTATGTGATCAAGGGCTCAAGTATATGGTCTGGTGCCCTGTACATAGCAGGTGCTTAATAACTACTTCCTGAATGGCTGTGGTAAGGCTAGGGAAAGAGGAAAGAAAGGCAAAGGACAAATAGGTTTATGAGCTTGGTGCTCACAGGGGGAATGAGGAGCTTGGTCTGGCTTTATGGGTCAGAGAAGAGAGAGCTGCCCCGACTTGGTAGTGTGGGGTCTGGGAAACACTCACAGAGCCCCAGTCCACAAGGAGCTGGCCAGCCTGTAAGTGCTGAGTCACCACAGCCAAATGGAACTACGGAATCAATGTTTACCGACCAGGTGAGCCCGGGTGGGGCTTTGCCCAAAAGGGCTTTACACCAACAGGTAAAGAGCCTATGGGGAAAGTTTCTCAGCCTGCTTGCAGAAACAGACCATGATCTCAGATATTTTGACCCATTTGCCCACTCATCCTAGCTCCTGTGATATATGCTAGGGATTAAGAACAACGTAATGGCAAAAAAGCACAGAGCCTGGCCCCGGAGACTGCACAGTGTGCCCAGGGAGAAAGCCATCCCGACAACGATCAGACAGCAAGATGAGGGTTGTGCCAGAAGTGGAGGTTGCAGTGAGCTGAGATCGCACCACTGCACCCCAGCCTGTGTGACAGAGCAAGACGCTGGCTCAAAAAAAAAAAAAAAAAAAAGATCAAGGTCGTAAACAGGGCTGGAGTAACACAGAAGAGGGAGCAATTAACTTCGTGGGAAGTCAAATAAGTCGTTTCAGAGTAGGTAGTGGCAATCATACTAACAGCGTTAGCATTAGCAATAATTTGTTAAGCCCTATGCACTGGGTACCAGTTGCTTTACATGGTATTGTCTCACTGAATCTCTACGACAACACTATATGGTAAGTTGCCTTATTATTTTCCTCTTTAGATGGGGAAACTGAGGTCCGGAAGGGCTAAGGGACTTGCCAGCAGGCACACAATAGTAAGGAACAGAATGAGGTATGGAATCCTGGTCTCTCTGACTTCAAAGCCCACCCCTTGCTGGTCTGCTACTTCCGTTTAGGGGGTTCAAGCAGTAGATGAGGTGCGTACCCTAAACCCTGGGGGAACTAGTTGTTCAAGACCAGATTATCAGAGGCAATTCAATTCAGGGAAACCCACAGCAAATCTGTTGCTTGTTTGTTTAATCCACAGGCTGATGTCACAGCCAATCCTTCCTTCCTCTCCATTCTCCTCTAGCTCTGGACCCCAAAAATGTCCTTCAGAGCAGAAGAACACAGAATTTCATCAGGAGCTCAGCTCCAGGACCTCCACCAATCCCTTCAATTGCTTGGCTGCCAGCTGAAGCTGCTCTTCTTTCACCCTCTCGCCTCTCAGCTGCTATCAGACAATCGTCTCAGCCACTCTCCAACCCCTCCCCACTCCACTGACTGTCCCTTAAATCTGGACATGGGAAAGAGGAGGTTATGGATATGGAAGGTGGGTGTGGGGTGGAGGTGAGAAATGTTTCCTCCATTCTGGGAGGGGAATGACCAGAAGAGTAACTGGGCAAGTGACACACAGGGCATTTGGGAAGTACTGAATTCGTGAAAATGCTGCCCAAGGGATCTTTGCCAGGATCTCCAGTCTTTGCCAGGATCTCCAGTCTTTGCCAGGAGGGTTGATCTGGGCACAATTCATTCCCACTCAGGGACCTAAGACATATCGGGAGCCTCGAATCCACCCCTAAACACTTTCTGGGAAAACATTTCCCCTGCAGAGACCCCACAGCTTCAGCCACATGACACAGAAGAGCCAAGGGGCGGCGAATGCAGAGAGCTAGACTGAGGGAGGAGGTGATAAAGAAAAACCACGTTGTAGCACTCCCTCATCCTGAGCTCTCAGCTGTAAGTGATGGAGGAGGAAGGCATGTGAAGTGGGAGGTGCTTCTCCGAGCTCGAGAAAAAAAAAAAAAGAAGAAGAAAACAAAGGCATACAAAAATGTCAGTATTCCCTCGGGCCTGTTCCATTTTTATCATCAAGAGACACTGTCAGAATGATAGGGTGCCTTGCTTCCCCCTCTTTCTCAAACTGCTGTCATTTTATTCTTCTAGCTCAAAAATATAGCCCCAGCCCTCCCACGGCACACTCCTTTGCAGCTGGCCTCAGTCTGTTTTGATAAGTCTGTGCAAGGTAGGCATTTCCCAGCGCTCTCCTTTCGTTTGACTTTCACAGCATCCTTCTATGGCAATGATTAAAAGATCCATTCATGAGTTGGGGAACTGGGATACAGGGAGGTTAAACGAGTTGCCTAAGTCCCTAACCCGCATGCCCAGATCCTCTGAAGCGGCAGCAAGGCCACCGAGCTTTGGCTGCCAACCTCTCCCAGCCACCTAGGGTGGCCTGCACTCTGCCTCCTGGCTACATGGCATCCGCTAGAAGGAAGCAAACCATGACAAGCAGGAAATCATGGGGACCAGGCTCTGGCCCTCTGTTCCACTGCTTTTGAGAGACAGATGGCTTTGACAACCAGAATGGAGTCGAGCGGAGCAGAGAGCAGATACCCACCCTCCCCCCGCACCACCACCGACCATACTCCTAGGTCCTACCAGTGGGATCCAAATCTGAGGCTGGGCTTTCTGCTATTTTTCCCAGGTCTCTGTAGGAAACTGACAGACAGGGGTGACATTTTCTATGTGTGGACCCAGGGAGGAGACTCTGTTAGATGCAGGGCAGTGTTGCTGCTGAAACACAAACAGCCCTCTCAGGGGAGTCTGTGTAAATCTCTCACTCAGACTTCCAATGAGGCGCCCTCGGATGTCAGATTTCCCAGTGTCAGAAAACTCCAACAAGAGATAGTCTCAAGCCTCTCTTGGGAGTTCATTCCTAGATTCACTATCTGTCTTAGTGCATTTTGTCTTGCTACAATAAACTACTTGAGACTGAGTAATTTATCAACAATAGAAATTTATTCCTCACAGTTCTGGAGGCTGGGAGGTCCAAGATCAAGGCACCAGCATCTGGTCTGGTGAGGACCTTCTTGCCGCATCATCACACAGCAGAAGGACCAGCTAGCCCAACACTGCATGACGTCTCTTTAAAAAGGGTCTTCGGCCAGGCATGGTGGCTCACGCCTATAATTCCAGCACTTTGGGAGGCCGAGGCAGGTGGATCACGAGGTCAGGAGTTCAAGACCAGCCTGGCCAAGATGGTGAAACCCCCATCTCTACTAAAAATACAAAAATTAGCTGGGCGTGGTGGTGGACGCCTGTAATCTCAGCTACTCGGGAGGCTGAGGCAGAGAATTGCTTGAACCTGGGAGGCAGAGGTTGTGGTGAGCCAAGATCACACCACTACACTGCAGCCTGGCCGACAGAACAAGACTGCATCTCAAAAAAAAAAAAAAAAAAAAAAAGGCCTTCATCCCATTAACAAGGGAGGAACCCCTCATGGCCCAATCACTTTTTTTTTTTTTTTTTAAAAGACGGAGTTTCACTCTTGTTGCCTAGGCTGGAGTGCAATGGCACAATCTCAGCTCACTGCTGCAACCTCCGCCTCCCGGGTTCAGGTGATTCCCCTGCCTCAGTCTCCCGAGTAGATGGGATTACAGGCGCCTGCCACCACACCCAGCTAATTTTTGTATTTTCAGTAGTGACGGGATCTCGCCATGTTGGCCAAGCTGTTCTTGAACTTGGGTGATCCACCTGCCTCAGCCTCCCAAAGTGCTGGGATTACAGGCATGAGCCACCGCGCCCAGCCAGGCCCAATCACTTCTTAAGAGCCCTTTTTTTGTTTTTTCTTTTTTTGTTTTTGAGACAGTCTCACTCGGTTGCCAGGCTGGAGTGCAGTGGCGTGATCTTGGCTCACTGCAACCTCCACCTCCCGGATTCAAGTGATCCACCTGCCTCAGCCTCTCGAGTAGCTGGGACTACAGGCGTGTGGCACCATGCCCAGCTAATTTATCTTTTTCTTTTTTTTTGCAATGGAGTTTCGCTCGTTGCCCAGGCTGGAGTGCAATTGCGTGATCTCAGCTCACCACAACCTCCACCTCCTGGGTTCAAGCAATTCTCCTGCCTCAGCCTCCTGAGTAGCTGGGATTATAGGCATGCACCACCATGCCCAGCTAATTTTGCATTTTTAGTAGAGATGGCGTTTCTCCATGTTGGTTAGGCTGGTCCCAAACTCCCGACCTCAGGTGATCCGCCTGCCTCAGCCTCCCGAGTAGCTGGGATTACAGGCATGAGCCACCGTGCCTGGCAATTTTTTGTATTTTTAGTAGAGACGGGGTTTCACTATGTTGGCCAGGATGGTCTCGATCTCTTGACCTCTTGATTTGCCCACCTTGGCCTCCCAAAGTGCTGGGATTACAGGTGTGAGCCACTGCGCCTGGCCCCCACCTCTTAATACTATCACACTAGCCACATTTGAATTTTGGAGGGGACACAATCAAACCATAGCACCACCTTTACTGACTTGTGTCTAACTTAAATTCTTCTTGGTACATTGTAAAGTACTTAATAATCCAATTGGCATGAGTTACTTTATTCTTATTTCACCACATCCATTATACTTGGGAGGCTAGGTGACTGTCTTCCTTAACCCAGTGAAATAGACAATGTCAGAACTCTTTATTCTTCATCTAATGATAATATTCTGATTGGGCTTGCTTCCCTCCCAGGGTGGACAGTGTTTCCCAGTTATGTTAGTCCCCATTTCAGGCTCCTGCTGGTGACTGAACAAGACCATTGGCTGATTTGCTCTCAAGTCAACCACTGGTGATTCCTGCAAAAGTACATGGAAACAATGGAAATACCACTGCTGTCTCAGAGGAAGGGATGGACTTGTGTCTATGGGTCTCCCTGTGACCCTACTGTTCAGCCATGTGCTCTCACTGGACCCAAATGTCAACTGCCTTTGTGGGAACCAAACCCCAGACCTCACAAATGGACAACTAATGGAGCTTAGTCAAATAAGTAACTGGGCCTTTTTGCTGGTCCTGGTCATGGTTTGAGCCATGCAAAGAACATCATTAAATTTAAAACAACATAGCAATTTTCAGTATTAAAGTCTACAACCTTGAGAGATATCAGAGTATGAGTTGAAAATAGCATGCAACAAGACCTCGCTCTCCCTTCCCTTCCCCCTCAATCTAAAATAAGGTTTTCTGGAGTCACCCATAATCCAAGGTGGTGGCTGGGACCTCATTACTCTCATTTCCTGCCATAAAAATCCCTCATGGTGACAGACAGGACATTGTCCAGTCTTCTCCACTCAGGCAACAGCCTTCTTCCACTTCTTCCAATCCAGCTCCTATGACAATTGGCTGGGATGGCTGAGGCTGTGGGGTTGGAGTCAAATCCAAAATGAAAGACCAGCACCAACTCCTCCTACCACCCAAGCCCAGGTCCTGAGGATGCAGTTTCATACACCACGGCTTGTGTGAAGACTCTGGGGACTTTTGACATAGTTGTTCGGTGGCAGGCAGGCTAAGCAATCGTCTGTGTATATTTGATAGCACCCTCTTTCCCATCACAGCGCATGTAACACAAAGCACTCACATGCAAGCTCCTCTCACAGGCATGCCAATTCCAGGCACACTAGATGTGGGGCCACTCCTCTCTTTCCCACTCAAAAAAAACCACAGTGGATTAGCCGAGCATGGAGGTGCATGCCTGTGGTCCCAGCTACTCAGGAGGCTGAGGCAGGAGGATTACTTGAACCGAGGAGGTGGAGGCTACAGTGAGCTGAGATTGATTACATCACTGCACTCCAGCCTGGGCGACAGAGCAAGAGCCTGTCTCAAAAAAAAAAAAAAAAAAAAAGTACAGTGGGATGCAAGGGAGTAAGTGGTGAGTGATTTATAATAGGGATAATCCTGAATCCATTGGAATTCCCTCCCTCCCTCCCTCTTTCTCCTTCCTACCTTCCTTCCTTCCACTGGAATTCCCTCCTTCCCTCCCTCCCTCCCTCCCTCTTCCCTCCCCTCCTTCCTTCCTTTTTGTTTCTTTCTTTCTATTTAGTTTTTTTTTTTCTTTTTTCTTTTCTTTCCTTTCTCTCTCTTTCTGGATTATTTTTTTTTTGGTGAGACAGGGTGTTGCTCTGTCACCCAGCCTGGAGTAGTGCAGTGGCACGATCAGGGTTCACCGCAGCCTCAACTTCCCGGGCTCAAGTAATCCTCCCGCTTTAGGCCGCCCACCGACCAAGTAGCTGAGACTACAGGTGTATGCCACGGCACTAGTTAATTTTTTTTTTTTTTTTTTGAGATGGAGTTTTGCTCTTGTTGCCCAGGCTGGAGTGCAAAGGCGCAATCTCAGCTCACTGCAACCTCTGCCTCCCTAGGTTCAAGCGATTCTCCTGCCTCAGCCTTCCAAGTAGCTGGGATTACAGGCACGCACCACCACACCCAGCTAATTTTGTCTTTTTAGTAGAGACGGGGTTTCTCCATGTTGGTCAGGCTGGTCTCGAACTCTTGACCTCAGGTGATCCACCCACCTCGGCCTCCCAAAGTGCTGGAATTACAGGCGTGAGCCACCGCGCCTGGCCACCAGTTAATTTTTTTTTTTTTAATTTCAGTAGAGATGAGGTCTTGCTATGTTGTTCAGCCTCGAATTTTGTTTTTCAAAAAGTGAAACACAATTATGAGTAATAAAGGACCCAAAATTCCTTCTCAGCCATAACAGCATGCTTGACAACTGCTGTTGCCTAGCCTGGGGGTTTCCAGCCTTGAGGTTGAGCCTACCCTAGGCTCAGTAGGAGGCCAGAGCTGAGCTGAGAACAGAGCCCAGGATGACTGTCACTCCTAATCCACGAGGTACAAAGATGTGGTTCTGTGTGACATCTTGAGATGGCTGACAACTCTCAGTCCCTATTTATTCTTAGCAAAGCAAACCACAAGCCTGAAAGCTGCTTGGTGACTTAGGGCATCAGTGTTCGGAAGGTCTCTATGGCGACTGATGTCCTGAGGTGACTAGACGCTTCCAGACATCAGTGCCGGTGGCATCTAGACAACACTTCTCACGAGGCTCCCGTTTTTCTGCAGACTAGGCTGTCTCTTCATAACAGAGCCTAGTTTCCATCAAAATGCCCTGACTTCTCGAGAGGACAAGCACTAATCTTTTTTAATTTTTCCATGCCCATGGCCGGTCAGAGAAGACCTATCTCCACCTGCCACGCTCCAGAGAACCTTACCCTTGAGCCAGATTTGTCTAAGATGGTGATGGTGATAACAAACACATCTCGGGTGTACTGATGGACAGGAAGTCAGGCGAGACAATGACTTGCTGCCCTGCTATGCTAATTTGTTGGCCAATTCATAGGAGGTGGCAGCTGATGTTGTAATGATAACTTAGAGGGCAGTGGCAGCAGGAAAGTTTTCTAAAAATGGCTTTTATTACAAGGCTTTCCTGAGTTTGGCTATACCCAGGCATTATGTCATTAGGAAAAACTGATGTCACTCAATAGAGAAAAAGAAATCTGTTCCCAAAGCAGACGCTTTCTGAAAGCTATTAGCTGTCTGCTTGAAATCACAACATTGAAGATTTCACAGCAACAGCAACACATTGTAAGGAAGCATTAGGAGATGTTTGCCTCTCTGCCTTCTTTATTAGTCATTCCTCTAGTAGGGAAAAGTGGGGGAGGAGAGGAAAGATGGCAAGGTTTCTTTTTTTTTTTTTAATTCATTCACACTTAATAAAGCAAAACATAACCCTGAGTTTTTTTTTTTTTTTTGAGATCAGTCTCGCTCTGTCGCCCAGGCTGGAGGGCAATGACGTAATCTTGGCTCACTGCAACCTCTGCCTCAGCCTCCAGAGTAGCTGGGATTACAGGCGCACACCACCACGCCTGGATAATTTTTGTATTTTTTAGTAGAGACGGGGTTTCGCCATGTTGGTCAGGTTGGTCTCAAACTCCTGACCTCAGGTGATCCACCCGCCTCAGCCTCCCAAAGTGCTGGGATTACAGGCCTGAGCCACCGCGCCCAGCACACCCTGATATTTAAAAATAACATCTCTCGGTTGCAGTGAGCTGAGATTGTGCCACTGTACTCCAGCTTGGGCAATGGAATGAGATCCTGTCTCAAAAAAAAAAAAAAAAAAGAGTAAAAGAAAAAAAAAAAGAGTTAACTACACCAAGATGGATGGTGAAGATGTTTTGCTGCTCTTTGGTAAAATAATAATAATAAAGGGGTCAGCGTGGTGGCTCACACTTGTAATCCCAGTACTTTGGGAGGCCGAGGCAGGAGGACTGCTTGAGCCCAGGGGTTCAAGACCAGCCTGAGTAACATAGCAAGACCCCGTCTCTACAAAACATTAAAACATTAGCCAGGTGTGGTGAGTGCACCTGTAATCTCAGCTACTTGGAGGCTGAGGCAGGAGGATCCCTTGAGCCCAGGAGTTCAAGGCTGCAATGAGTTGTGATCACACCACTGCACTCCAGCCTGGGCAACAGAGCAAGACTCTGTCTCTAAAACAAATTAAAATAATGATAATCATCATAAAAAGCAAATGGTCAGGAAATTGCTCCCACTCACATTCATGGTTCCATTGATCTCTGCTACTGACTCATCATCTGTAGGAAACTGATAGATCTGGACTCCGTTGCTGACAAGCTCGCTGGTGATTTTGATTTTGAACTTCGTTAGCTCACTCTTCGAAATGGCATCTGCTTTGGCAATGATGGGGATGATGTTCACCTAGGGAGAGGAGGGCAAAGCGGGGTCATTGTTGGTAACCTGCAACTGATAGCAGCATCACCTAAGACTTCCACCAGCTGCCAGAGGGAGCCACTCAGCCCAGTGGTCAAGGACTGGCCGCTTCTGTAGCCAAATGACAATACAATAAACGACAAGTACTAACTGTGCTAGGCACTGAACTAAGTGCTTTACATGAATTAGCACAATTAATCCTGACAATAACCCTTCTTTCCAGGAGGTATTATTACTATTTTGCCAATGAGAAATTAAGGCATAGGGAGGTTAAGTAACTTGTCCAAGGCCATGGAGCAGGTAAGTAGCAGAACTGGGATTCGAATCCAAACTCAGCCTTATTCCTAAGTCCATAGTTTTAAGCATGAGCTGTCTACCAGTTCAGATCCAAATTGATGAGCTGTATGATATCTTGGTATCAAGGTTACTGCTTGGGAGATATGAAGCAGAAAGGTGATAGCTGGGAATCTGTGGCTGACAGGGGAGAGGTGGCCTCTTCTTGCTAACAGTAAATTGTTCCAACCCATCGAGTCCTGGCTAGCCCCAGCCGGGTGTGATATGGACCCACATGAGAGATGGCAGGGAAAGGAGGCAGGACAGTGCTCAGCGAGGATGTACACCTGGCTCTCTTTCTGGCAAGAGACACTGAATAACCAACTCGGTTAGGTGAGGAAGAACCTCTAGTTACAATTTGATCTGAGACTTATGCAAAAAGAATTATACTGCCTGAGTCTCATGATTAATTTCTGAGTAAGAAAAGCAGTATAAATGCCCAATTTGAGGCATCAGGAGAAAGGCCTAATGCCAACCAAAAGTTCAGTCCACCTGAACCCTAATCCTTGAAATTGCTCCAAGAAGGGACAAGGCTTTTACTGTCAGAAGGTAAAGAAACTTGAAATGCACGCGTGTTTGTGAGACAGAGCACACTAAGGTAAAGTTGACATGGAGAGCATAATCATTCCTGCCAGGAGACTCCAACAGGGGGGTGGGGGAGTGGGGGGCATAGGTGGCACTCAGGCCCCGGGCTCTGAAAGGGGAGTCTGGGAGCACCAGACGTGAAAGATAAATCCTGCCTCCTTTGCACTTTGGCTTAGGAGTGCCTCTGAAGGCTGATACCACACAGGTGGTGGGTCAAAGAAAGACTGAACCTTGGAGGCACCTCCCTTGAAGTCTTTCGCGGGCAGAGGGGTCAATGCCCTTGCCAAGATGAAACAGCAGGCAGAGCCTATTCTCCTTGGCACTTTCGCCAAGTCCCCATTGACACACCATAAACATATATCAGGCCGGGAGCAGTGGCTCATGCCTATAATCCCAGCACTTTGGGAGGCCGAGGGGTGGATCACCTGAGGTCGGGAGTTTGAGACCAGCCTGGCTAACATGGTGAAATCCTGTCTCTACTAAAAATAAAAAGTATCCGGGTGTGGTAGCGCATGCCTATGATCCCAGCTACTTGGGAGGCTGAGGCAGGAGAATTGCTTGAACCCAGGAGGCGGAGGTTGCGGTGAGCCAAGATCGTGCCATTGCACTCCAGCCTGGACAACAAGACTGAAATTCCATCTCAAAAATAATTAATTAATTAATTTAAAATATATATATATACAGACACACACATATATATCAAAGGTTTAACTCAGCCCATCCACCAGGCCTGCAGCCATGTGGCTCACCAATGCCCCTATACAGGACATGCAGGGCATGGCCACATTTCAAGAGCAGCCTTTTATTCATGGGCCATGAGCCCATTGCTGCAAAAAATGAAAAACCGCTCCTATTCTGATGAAAGCTGAAATTCAGTTTTAGAGTGGATGTGCTACTAAATGGCTGCATGTAAATTCGATTATTATTGTTTGGTATATAGTCTTGCTCTGTCGCCCAGGCTGGAGTGCAGTGGCATGATTCCGGCTCACTGCAACCTCCACTTCCAGGTTCAAGCAATTCTCCTGCCTAAGCCTCCCCAGTAGCTGGGATTACAGGTGTGCAACACCATGCCCAGCTATTTTTGTATTTTTAGTAGAGACGGGGTTTCGCCATGTTGGCTTGGCCAGGCTGGTCTCGAACTCCTGACCTCAGATGATCCGCCCACCTTGGCCTCCCAAAGTGCTGGGATTATAGGCATGAGCCACCAAGCCCAGCCTAAATTCAGTTTTTGTAAAATAAAAGACCATGGAGTCAGAGCTAGGTCCAAATCCCAGACCCATTTCAAGTTGTCTGAGGTTGAGCAAGTGACTTGACTTTCTGCCCCTCAATTTCATCATGAGTGAAATGGGAATAATAATAGTACTCACCGCTGGATTATTGGAAGGAAAAAATAAAATAATGCATATAAAGTACTCATCACAGCATCTGGCACACATTAAATGGTAGGTGAAAATGTAATTAGGTTTTCTGAAGAATCCTGTGATCAATTCTTTTGTAAAGCAAATAATCCTCTAACATGAAGAATCATTGTATAATTTATACATGGTATAGAATTTGCATTTTTAAGTTTTTTGTTTTGTTTTGATTTGTTTGTTTGGTTTTTTTTTTTTTTTTTTTTTTGAGACGGATTCTCGCCTGTCGGCCCAGGGGAGTGCAGTGGCGGATCTCAGCTCACTGCAAGCTCCCACCTCCCGGGTTTACCCATTCTCCTGCCTCAGCCTCCCGAGTGGCTGACTACAGGCGCCCGTCACCTTGCGCCGGCTAGTTTTTTGTATTTTTTAGTAGAGACGGGGTTTCACCGTGTTAGCCAGGATGGCCTTGATCTCCTGACCTCGTGATCCGCCCGTCTCGCCTCCCAAAGTGCTGGGATTACAGGCTTGAGCCACCGCGCCCGGCCATTGGTATTTTTTTTTTTGAGACGGAGTCTTGCTCTGTCACCCAGCTGGAGTGCATGGCCCAATCTGTGCTCACTGCCAAGCTCCACCTCCCAGGTTCATTGCATTCTCCCTGCCTCAGCCTCCCAAGTACTTGGACTACAGCCCCCGCCACACGCCTGGCCTTTTTTTTGTATTTTAGTAGAGACGGGTTTCATTGTGTTAGGCCAAGAGGCTCGATCTCCTGACCCGCGTGAGTTCCACCCACCTCGCCTCGCCACAGTGCTGGGCATAGAAGGCGTGAGCTACCACGCCCAGCCAAGTTTTTCTTAAAGCAAGACGATGCCTGATTCCCACAGCCATCTTTCTCGGGCATAGAAGCATTATAACATGGGGTCACAGATCTGAGTGTCACAGAATCTGCACTCTACCAGTAGCTAGCAATATGACAATGAGCAAGTCACTTAACCTCTCAGAGCTTCAGTTTTCTCTTCTGTAAAATGAGGCTAACAATAATGTGTACTTCATGGGGTAGGCATATAATGAGGGTTTTAATGTTAACTGCAATCATAAAAGTAATTATTGATAGTAAGAATGGTAACTTTCAAAGTCAAGTTTGCATGTTTGATTCTAGCCAGTTAACACAGGGACAAAGAAAAAACAGCTTTCCATTGCCAAAGCCTTTGCCCTTAGACCCAGGGAGCCGTCTTGCTAGTCTCCAAGACGGATCAGGGCAGAAAGACAGCTCAGGGCAAGCCCATCCCTAGTGCTGGGAAAACAGATCACAAAGTGTATGATGCTGGTGCTGGATCCATAACACCATCTTTATGGAGGGACAGGGAATGAGGGAGAGGATGAGGATGCCACAAATCTCTCCCGGAATCCCACATCTACTTTGCACAAGAGATCAGTAAGAGTGAGCCCCCAGCGCCCCCGCCCCTGCCTCCTATACCTTACTGTCCAGCTTCTTCATAGTCACTAGGTCCAGAGACTTCAGGGAATGACCCGTGGGGGCAATGAAATACAAGCAGACATGGATCCGGGAGTCATGGTAGGTGTGCAGCACTCTTCGGATCTTCAGCTCTTCCTGCAGGTAGGCCTCGAATTGTGCGTCAATGAATTCCACGATGGGCTTGTAGCTAAAAAGGACAGAGGTGGACCCCATCAAAAACTTGGATTTTGACCCTGTCCCTTTTGGAAGTTTCAAATGCCCTCTGTAATCCTGACTCTCTCCCATCCAGCTGCATTTCTCCATCTCCCTTCAGTGGGCCTCCGATCTTGTCAGCGTGGCCACCTTCTTGGTCTCTACGTGAGCCAAACATATGCCCATCTGTGCACCTTCACTAGAACGCCCCTTTCTCTCTCCTCATCCCAATTCTGCCCTCCCAGACCTCAGGGCTCAGCTTAATGCCCTCCTCCTTCCTACGGCCTTCCCCACTTATGCCAGAAATCCCTTCTGCAAGTCAGGGGCATAATAAGAAATGGCATTCAATTACTTATTGTTGCTTCACAAAGATTCTCTCAACTAGATTGTCTTCCTAAAGGGCAGGGCCTGTGAAGGGCACTTCTCTGTCCCTCAGAGGGTCCCAACACAGCATGGAGCTCACTGGCCGTATCTGTAGAGGGGCTGATTTTCCTCCAAGCTGGGCTCATGTCTTTGCTTCCTTTATGTTGCCCTACAGTGCCTAGATGAGAGCTGGGTACACAGTGGGTAACGAGACCTCTCTTTGGCCCACTGCCGGGCAATCTTGTGAGAACATTCAAGGCTTTTGCTCATTCTTGCTAGGTTTAGTGGAGCTCCCCACTTGGCTCCCCCAAGGTCAAGATATTTTTCTGATTCTCATTTCTGCCAAGGTGGTGACTTTAAAATCTAAGTATTCAGGCCAGGCACAGTGGATCATGGCTGTAATCCCAGCACTTTGGGAGGCTGAGGCGGGCATATCTCCTGAGGTCAGGAGTTCGAGACCAGCCTGGGCAACATGGCAAAACCTCGTCTCTACTAAAAATACAAAAATTAGCCAGGTGTGGTGGCTCATGCCTGTAGTCCCAGCTACTCAGGAGGCTAAGGCAGGAGAATCACTTGAACCCGCGAAGCAGGGGTTGCAGTGAGCGGAGATCACGCCACTGCACTCCAGCCTGGGCAACAGAGTGAGACCCCGTCTCCAAAAACAAACAAACAAACAAACAAAACTAAGTATCCAGGCAAAATCTGGTAAAGCTACTCCCCCCTGCACACCCTGCACACGTGGACACGTGGACACAGGCCTGCCAGCTCACTGAGTCTCTACACACGGCTCCTCTAGGTGGCCCCCAAGTCTTGCCAAGGCTTCTTAAACAACAGTCAGCCCTCTATGTCTCTCTGTCCTGGGCCTCCCTGGGAAACTTCCCTCTCTCTCTGTCCCAGTCCCCTCCCACGTCATCCCCGTCACCCCTACAGCCTCTTTCTGCTTTAACTAGGTCAGCTTAGCTCAGCTCTGCCTCTTGTTCTCATCTCTCCTATCTGTCTGCTGCCTCTCTGGCTGAGGGGCTGCCTCCCTTCAGGCTAGAAGAGGCTTGTCATGTGGGCCCAGGGCAGGGAGTTTTCAGATACCGCTGCCAGAACAGAACATGATGATCAAAGGAGGAGCTGGGTCCAGCCAATGCCTCCCACGTGCAGCAGCTCCCAGGCTGAGCCTTTTTGAAAGATCCCCCTAGTAGAGAAGGGGAAAATAGCCTTTTAAAAAAGAATCATAGGATCCTAGATTCTGAGAGCTGCAGCCAGAGCTGAGATCCAGGTTCAGGCTATCTCTGGAGCCCCAGAGAAAAATCTTTTATTTTAGATGGAGTTTCACTCCGTAGCCCAGGCAGGACTGCGGTGGCGCGATCTCCGCTCACTGCAACCTCCACCTCCTGAGCCCCAGAGAAAACTCTAAAAACACAGTCCTTTCTTTATTCCTTTGATCCCTCTGAGCCACTGTTCTGAAGGGTAATCGCATCAAAGAATCTCTAGGTTGCAAAGATCCTTAGGAGGTTCCTGACGAATTTGGAGTGAGGGTGGGGGATGTATCCCCTAGGCTTATCTAATTAATTTTTGGATGTTTTGCTGATTTGAAATAGTTGATGATGGCACTGCTTCATTTTTTTTTCTCAATTACATTACTTTTTTTTAACTTCATTTTTTGCTTTGCAGAAGGAATCAAAGGAGGAAAGAAAATAAAGCTAAAAAGTACATTTTTTAGCTCCCCCCGCCCCACCCCGGAATCTGTAGTGATACCCTGTGCCTGTCTTACTGCAATTGCCTCTGGCTCTCGGAAGCTCCCAAAATGTACACGGATCAGACCAGCCAAATCAGCCAATCAGCCACCAGGATTTGGTGCAGACGAATCCTAAATGGGTGATTTCTCTTCGTCTTTTTTTTTTTTTTTTTTTTTTTGAGACGGAGTCTGGCTCTGTGGCCCAGGCTGGAGTGCAGTGGCCGGATCTCAGCTCACTGCAAGCTCCGCCTCCCAGGTTTACGCCATTCTCCTGCCTCAGCCTCCCGAGTTGCTGGGACTACAGGCGCCCGCCATCTCGCCCGGCTAGTTTTTTGTATTTTTTTAGTAGAGACGAGGTTTCACCGGGTTAGCCAGGATGGTCTCGATCTCCTGACCTCGTGATCCGCCCGTCTCGGCCTCCCAAAGTGCTGGGATTACAGGCTTGAGCCACCGCGCCCGGCCCTTCTCTTCGTCTTATTCATCTCTGTATCCTCCACGTCTAGCCTGCTGTCTGGAACATAGTAAAGTTTCCCCTGCTGCTCTGCGTTCCCTCCACCCCCGGCCTCCGTGACTCATCTTCCCACGGTGGCCACCTCTCTCCCACACTCTGTTGTGCTGCTCACTGGACTCCAGTGGGTGGTAAACTAAATCTTTTATTCTTATAGGCTACCTCCTCCCAAACTGCTTCCTTCCTCTAAATGACACCTGACTATCCTTCAGAGATGCTGCTTTTCTCATGTCCTTCTCAACTGGAAATTTCTTCATCTCCACACCAAAGTCCCATGGATGGGCAGAGAGCGCAGCTTTCTTCTAGCTCTTGATTCCCTTGCTCACTGTGATCTCCTCATCTCCTCCATCTTCGACCAAAACCAGCTCCAACAGACTCCATCCCTCCAAAACCAGCTCCAACAGACTCCATCCCTCCCCATCACTACTGATAATCTTTGACATTTCAAGACAGCCGTTCTTAACACGGGGTTCATGGACCTCCTAGGTTCTGTGAATAGAATCCAGAGGATCTGTGAACTTGCATAGGAAAAAAATACATCTTTTTCACTAATCTCTAACTGAAGTTTAGCAGTTTCTTCAGCTACAGACATAGGTAACAATCTATAGTAATGTTAGCAGTACCTGTGATTTCATAACCAATAGAAATCACTGATACCATCATTTCCCATTCCAGTTGTTGCAAATAGCTCAAAATGGCATTTATACTCATTACATCCAAATTCTGATAATTATTAAGCCTGCATATAGATATTATTACTTCCAGAATTGATAGAGAAGCACATAGATTACTAAGTCACAATTTTTAAATATTTTAATAACTGTATTTTTAGTATACTTGGTATATTTTAGGCATTTAAAAACATTATTTTGAGAATGAGCCCACAGGCCTCACTAGATTGCTAACGGGGCCAACGGCACAAAATAACCCCTGGTCTAGACAATAATTCTTATTCATTTTGGATAATGATATGTACTATGAAGATACTCCAATAGGATAATGGGATATACATGTGATTGAGGGTTCAACTACTTTAAATACAGTAATCAGGGAAGGCTTCTCTAAGGGTGTGACATTTGAGCCGCAAGGATGAGGATGAGAGAGCCATGGAGAGATCTGGGCGAAGAGCATTCCAGGCAGAGGGAAGAGCAAATGTGAGGATGGTCCTGAGGCAGAAGCCAGTCTGACAGGTTTGAGCAATGGGAAAAAGGCCAGGGAGGTGGGACTTGGTGAACCTAGCTTGAGTAAATTATTCACAGTAGCCCAAAGGTAGAAACAACCCAAATGTCCATCAACTGATGACCGGATAAAGAAAATGTGGAGGCCGGGCGCTGTGGCTCACGCCTGTAATCCCAGCACTTTGGGAGGCCGAGGCAGGCGGATCACGAGGTCAGGAGTTCCAAACCAGCCTGACCAACAGGGTGAAACCCCGTCTCTACTGAAAATACAATAATTAGCCAGGCATGGTGGCGGGTGCCTGTAATCCCAGCTACTCAAGAGGCTGAGGCAGGAGAATTGCTTGAACCCAGGAGGCGGAGGTTGCGGTGAGCCGTGATTGAGCCACTGCACTCCAGCCTGGGCAACAGAGCGAGACTCCATCTCAATAAATAAATAAATAAATAAAATAAAATAAAGAAAATGTGGAGGCCAGGTGCGGTGGCTCACACCTGTAATTCCAGCACTTTGGGAGACCGAAGCAGATGGATTACCTGACATCAGGAGTTCAAGACCAGCCCTGCCAACATGGTGAAACCCCACCTCTGCTAAAAATACAAAAATTAGCCAGGCATGGTGGTAGGCACCTGTAGTCCCAGCTATTCGCGAGGCTGAGGCAGGAGACTTGCTTGAACCTGGGAGGTGGAGGTTGCAGTGAGCCAAGATTGCACCACTGCACTCCAGCCTGGCCACAAAGCGAGATTCCGTCTCAAAAAAAAAAAAAAAAAAAGACTGTGCCTTATTTCTTAGTATCTCTGACACCTCACACTGTACTTGTCACATAGTAGACATTTAAGTTTATAAAGTGGGTAATTAGCCAGGCCTGGTGGTGGGCATCTGTAGTCCCGGCTACTTGGGAGGCTGAGGCAGGAGAATGGCGTGAACCTGGGAGGCAGAACTTGCACTGAGCCGAGATTGCACCACTGCACTCCAGTCTGGGTGACAGAGCGAGACTCCATCTCAAAAAATAAAAATAAAATAAAAAAGTTTATAAAGTGGACTAGGTTTCCACAGCAACTTGGTTCTCAGTCTTGTGAATTCTCTCAAATCTGCCCCTCCTCTCTATCCTCAAAGCTTCTCTTCCTGTTCAAGCCCTCATCATCTCTCCCATCCTCAAGAGTTGCCCCTGACCTCCTTGTCCCCCTCTAGACATGGCCTTGTGTATTTCTCCCGGCTCAGACAA